GTCTGTTTTTAATACTGATATATCAAGTAGGGCAATACCCACGGGTTATTATGGCAAGATTTTTTTCCTTGGAGCTAATTTTAAAATCTGAACATCCATCTATAAAGCCAAAACCTGAATTAGGTGTTTTTTTGTTTTGGCTTCGGCAGTTGTATCAGGACCATATATATATATATATATATGGAAACAGAATATTTATATTATATATAAAAAATATATTCTCTCTCTTTGCCCCTCCCGCAAATGTTGCAGCTCTTTAGTATTCTCTCTCTCTCTTTCTCTCAAATCATTTTAAAATCACAAAAAGGCCAAGTTTTATATGCTTTCCAAATAGGATTATACTATGGGGCCTGATCCTGCAAATCTCTGGGAGCAGCCCTTACTCATACAAGCAATCCCATGGAAGTCACTTACTTCGGAAGCTCTTTGGGGCAGGGATCGTATTTTTGTTCTTTGTTCATTGCCTAGCACAATTGGGTTCTGGTCCGTGACTGGGGCTTCCTAGGTGCTACCACAGTGCATATAACAAATAATAACTGTGTAAGAACATGCAGGATCTGCCCCATAGATAGGAACAAAGGAAGAGTAACTTTCAGAGACTATAAGAGAATTGTATTAATAAGGATCCTGTGTACTATGATAACCCAGTATTTCCAATTTATAACAACAATTTTACAAACATTTCAATACTAAAATAGGCCAAAAGCTACAGCCCCAGACACCCCCCCCCACCCCCCCACCACACACACATAAAGGGACAATGTTAAGAGAATTAAAGCTCCAGTCGCTGTGAAGTCACTTTGTGGTGACTTGCACTGGAAATGAAAATATTGTATTTGGTGTTTGTTTGCTTTCATCTTAAAACGATTAGAAATGTTGGGTTCAAAATGTTTTGATATATCAAGTATGGGTAGGGCATAATGTTAGAACTGTTTTAAACAAGTGCTTGGGTTTTATTACATCAGTCTCAAAATCTGAAATCTAGCCCAAAGTAAAACACCAATTAAGCTACATTATTTCACTCCCCAGCCCATTATAAGTGGGATTTTCAAAAGCACGCAGCATGACTTAACACTGTCCCATTAGGCCAACACTGAGCCCACCCTCCATGTATACACCCCCCCCCCAAAGATATTCTTCCTACTTAAAGAAAAAACAAAACATGAACATGTAATTACTGTTCCACTTCAATGTAAACCTCCTGACCTGCCTGAGAGATCCTCTCCCTATGAACATTGCCACAGTTGCAGTCTGCAGGGCCACTAAACTCCCCTTGAAATAATAGAGAAGAGGCTGCTGGAAGGCTGTTCTCCATAAGAGTTCTGGGCCTCTCAAATGCCTTTCAATCCCTGCTCTGAAACAGCCTGGATTTACAGAGTTCCAGGCAGCACTGCAGTGCCGCTGTAGCATTTCAAGTGTAGACAAGGCCTGAGACACCTGAAATCACTAGCCACTTCTGAAAACATATGCCAAGTACAGTTAGTGAAGTCATTTAGATAAGACTCTGATTCCATTAATATGGGAGCTTTTAATACACAGGAGCTGCCCTGGACTGTGATTAGTGTATTGAAAACAGATCTGCTGCTAACAATGGAATGAGTATCAAATGTTAGAAAGAGCAGTGACCTCACTCTACCACAAGCATTTGTCTGGGAAGGAAAAAAGGTTGTCATGAGTTACCTCATTTACAGAGACATGACATGCATGTATAAAATATGCAGAGAGCCTCAATCACAGCGCTTGCCCTCCTTACTCTAGCTATTTATCTTTTTTTCAAAGTGGAAGGATAGACTGGTGGCGGCGCCTGAAAATGATTGTGGTAACTCACTGACAAGGTGGGGCTGGTACATATCATATGCTGTTAGGAACTGTCAGATTGCTACCTCTCCCCTCCACCCCCACCCCCACACCAACCCAGCAGTTTAGGGAACACACATCTTTTCCCTCACCTTCCAAGACAGACACATGCACACCCTCTCTCTTTTATTCTGACACTTAATCAAAAATACACTATAAAAGATTTCTCTTCCTCCTGGTAAGTGAAAGGAGTAGTGCTAAGCGCTTGCTTTCTCCTGAGTAAGTTGAAACAAATTCAGGTTTGTGTTTTGCATTCTCTTTAGTGATCATGTGCAGCTGCAGAGCTACATTTCAGTACCTTTGTTCCAAAACTGTGACAGGACAGTAGATTCATGGCTTTGGAATGGAAAGAAAGTGGCCGGGAAGGAGTGTACTAATAGGTGTTTTCACTGTTTGATAAGGGTGCCCCCAAATTAGTTATATTCACTTCAAGTCCTTGAATGAAGGCCACTAGCATTACTGACATAGTGATTTAACCATACAAAGTACAAATGGAAAGAAATATATTTTTATCATCAATTCAGTTTCATAATGCGTGATGCATGTTCTTGTAAACAAGCTTGATATCTAAAGCACACATCATTCACAAGGCAAATAAATTGAAGGAAATTGTAGTAAGTGTTTTCCCATATTGTTCCCTAAGACATGTAAAATGACTGTTAGCTCTAAGAGAAAAGAGCTCATCAATTTCCAAAATGCCTTTACCTGACCTACACTCCCCATCACTCATGCAAAATCCCCACCAGGCTCGCGTGTTTCAGGAGGAGGGGAAAAATACAGTAAATACCAATCAAAAAGCTTTTCCTTTAGAAGTAACACACCATCCCTTCCCTTAGTAACTGAAAATATCCTAAATGGCAGCGCCATAAAGACTTAATTTATCTTTCAATAGAGGATGGCTGTGCTGAACTTAAATGGTGATGTCCCTTTGACAATAAAATAGTCAAAAGGCTATAGCATTAGGTCATTCCACCAATAATTAATGTTTCCCCCGCTGTGAGAGGCAATAGAAAATCTAATTATTTTTAAATGCAATAATGAAACAAGGATGATGTGCTTAGAATCCTAACAAAGCTGCTAGTATTGAACTGTGCTAATCAAGTTTAAATTAAATTAAATTAAATTAAAAGGGGCAAAAAGAAAATTTGCTTAAAGTAGCAATGGAGGGGGGGGGAGAGACTATAATCTAACAACGTTTGTTTGTGAAAATTAAAACATAATCAAAACACATGATACATGAAAACATATTGCAGCTGTAAGAGACAAGATCACAGGGAAAAACTGATAAGCATAGCCAAGGCAGACTGCAAACAAAAAGATTATTCTTAAAAGATGATCTCCAAAAGAACAGCTGCAAATCACAGATGTCCATGGTATAACTACGTTAGATTACCTGAGGATAATTTGATATCTTGTTTATATTTACTACTACACACTTATTTCATCTAGTAATTTACTGCTTCTCATATTAATTTGTTATATGGGTTAGCTCTCTCATGGAAAATATCTCAGGAAATTCTAGAATTTCACGAGTTATCTTTATAAAAAACACAAAAATGTTATTTGCAGGATGAAACTTACCATAATATTATCAGTTTTTGAAATCACGGTTCTACCTTTTGGCTACAGGTCTATTTTTTGTCTTATAGTCAAATGGGGCCACTTACTATACTATAGTATTCTATACTATACAGCCAATCACATGTAGTCTTGAGTGCTAATATTCTAGTCTACTGTTCTTATACTGCATTCATCACCATGCTATCAGAGTGACTTCCAGTAGTTTAAGTATATTAAGTAATGTGACTAATATATGTCACACGTTTATTCAACAAATTGCAATTTCTTTTTGGAGAAGCATGCAACATGAGGACACGAATACAGTGATTCATGAACTACACATTTTTGCAGAGTTATCTAGACCAGGGGTTCTCAAACTTCATTGCTCCGTGACCCCTTTCTGACAACAAAAATTACTACACGACCTCAGGAGGGGGGACTGAAGCCAGAGCCCGCCCATGCCCTACAACTCGGGGGGCGGCGTCAAAGCCCAAGCCCCACCACCTCGGGTGGGGGGACAAAGCCAACACCCAAGAGCTTCAGCCCCATCACCCAGGGCTGAAGTCCTTGGGCTTCGGCCCTAAGCAGTGGGGCTCAGGCTTCAGCTTCCGCCCCAGCAAGTCTAAAGCCACCCCTGGCGACCCCACTAAAACAGGGTCGTGACCGACTTTAGGGTCTCAACCCACAGTTTGAGAACCACTGACCTAGATACAATTTTATCACAAAAAGGTATAGCATTCAGTTTTAGGGGATGCCAGTGCATTTGTTCCAGTCACTAATACAAACATTTCATTCATTCAAAAAGGGAATTTAATTTGATAGACTTATTCTGCTACTAAATACGCTCCAGTAACTAGGAGTTTTTTTTAAATGTAAAATCCTCCATGAATGCTGCAGCATAGTTTCTAAAACCATGGATTGAATGCAACTAAACTGCACATAAAGTTACACTTTTCCTATCTCCGAGGGTCTATGATCAAAGACACCTTAAACATTAAGCTTTTTCTTAATAGTCTGGAAAGCATAATACTAACAGAAATACCTTTCATTATTTTTTAAAATTCTATTCTTAATGTTGTCCCAAGATTTTTTTTTAAATTTGTTGTCCCTTTCGTTTTCTGTCTCCTCATCTGTGTTGAAAACAGATATGTATCATACATAAAAAGTAAGTAGTTACCAATGGGTGTCATTTGCGTGCAAAGGAAGGCATGTCTACATTTAAACTGATACAGCGCCACTGCTGTAGCTCTACAGTATAGGCACTATCTACCCCATGAGGCGGGCTTCTCCCAGTGCCGAAGGTAATCCACTGCCCTGAGAGGCGACAGCTAGGTAATGGAAGAATTCTTCTGTCAACCTAGCGCTGTCTACACCAGGGGTTACATCAGTATAGCTCTGTCTCTGAGGGGTGTGGATTTTTTCACGTAGCTATACTGAAGTTAATTCCTTGTGTATGAGGTGGACCCAAACCCTTGAACTATGTGGAAGCTTGCAATCATATCTGAACTTTGCAGTTTGTTCCCATCTCTAATGGAAATGCTGCCTAAGACATTTGAATATTCTAACAAATAGCATTTCCTTACCTGAAACGTAGTGAGTTTTTGGCCTGGTTCAGAATATAGTGTCACTGCAATGCTTAGGGCTACAATATGGGACACTGCAGAAAGGATGCTGATGATGACAGCATCTCTCATCCCAAAGGGTAACATGGTATAAACTGTGAAGATTATGAACAGGAAGAATGGCACCTTCAAAAAGAAAAAGGGAAAAATCTGTTATTAGGTGCCAGCCAAAAATCACTGCAGAGCAAGGGGGAAAACAAGCATTCTGACTTTTCTTCAGGCTGCATCCTCTAACATTGACATTTCAATGGAACAATTAAAATCACAAGGAGTGTAGTGTTCATAAAAGCTTTGAGGAAACTCGATAAAATTATAATACGAATGTAGGCAAACCAGTAGCTTGATGAGGACATTTGACCCTTAATTTGTCTCATTCTCCTTTGGTAAAGTAGCAGATATACTGCAGACATTATAACCACAGACATGACATGACACAACTTGCATCTGAATTATGTACCAAGAACAGTCCAAAGCAAGGATGGAGCTCTCTCCTTTAATTTCAAATTTTGCAAGTGCTTTAAGTTCTTATTATAATGTTAATATCAACAGCTTGCATGTGTTTATTTGCTTGATATTTTATTGACCCTAAAACCAAATAATCCTTCATGGAGTTGATACAACAGAGTAATCACTACTGCATATAAACATACATTTGAAGGCACAGTTAAAGAGTTTACAAATGTCCATTGGCCTGCTAAAGCATAATGGTTCAGAAAGCACTATTAAAGTCTACCATTAAATCCATATTTATGGACTTCTGTTGTAGCCTATGGTACCTATATATGGGGCCTGATAATACTTGAGTCAAGTACTGTGACAGACACACTGCAAGACTGTCCACTCAGCTCTCCCGCTTCATTTCCTGCTCTTTCCAGACATCAGCCTCCTTTGGGGAGATTCTCACTCATGGCAAATTCTAAATACCATATGACGGTTTTGTAACATGCACAAACGGAGACCAGATAAGGAAACACACAAGCTTCACTTGTGACCAAAGTCACATCGGAAGGTTAAAGGCAGAAAAATCCTGTTCCAGCTGACCTCCTACAATATGGTCTTCACATTTAAAAAAAAAAAAGTCAAAGGTATCAGCCCACATAATGACTTGCAACATTTAAAGAAGCAAAGCCAGGGAAAAAACAACCACCCTGAACAACTAAAATCATGTTCCCTATGTCTAAGGGGAGATTTTCCCCCCCATAAATTTTGTATTAAGATTTCACTACTAAGTAGAATGATTTTGAAGGCAAAGTCTCACCAGAGGAAATTGAAGCAATAAACCTGGGGATCTATGGCTTTATAGTATACATGCTGCTACCTTTAACTGTTGTATAGCTGCAATAGCTGAAGTCTGCAGTCAACATATCACTGTGCTGGACAGCATTCATAGTGGAAATCCATTCTGATTGTCTAGTAGATAATTTCTAATTTTCATTATTCAGAAAAGGATGGACAGAACGGGAAGGGTCAGTATAATTAGATTAAAAGTAATTTTTCTTTTCTTAAAAACTGTTCTGCTTATGTTATCAGAGCTTAGGAGGAGTTTCCTATAGGCTTCATAATGACTTTTTGGCTTCATAAAACTGTCAGTTTTCTGGTCAGAGATACCAAGTAATCAACTCCAGCCGTACCCAGCAATGCCAGGATGTGTCATTAGTTCTTGTTGTTCACTTCACCCTCTCTACTTGATTTGAAAACACTTTCACTAGGCACACCCAGCTATAGAGTTCTTTAAAAAATTACTTGACCACCACTTTGTAATCAGGATCCTAATCAGCACCTATCAAAACACTAAGAATTATTAAAGAAATAATTTACTTTTAAGGTACATTCATGACAAGTAATACATTTTCATTTGTGTAATTTAAATTAAAAGCATAAGGCCAAGATCTTACAAAGACTTCGGCACATGCTTAATTTTACACACTGTGTGAAGTAGTCCCAGTGAAGTCAATGTGACTATGCTGAACTTTAAGCAGTGTATGCACATAAGTCTTTGCAGGATCAGGGACAGACAGAGTTAACAAAAAGTGTTATCCTATAATCCAATATAACTGGTTTGGGGAAGAAGTAACCTAAAACTAATGGAAAAAATTGAAATGATATAATATTTAAAGAAAGAAATGATAGAATATTTAAAGTGATTACCACTTCTAAATGTAAGTGCATCAAACAGGAAATACATACCTGTTCCCATGCATAGAATGAAGGGGTATCTGCCATTCCAAAAACTGACACATATCCTATGGTCAGGAAGCAGATCCAAATCAAAATCCCAAATAATTTCAGCCATCTCCGAAATAAGGATTCAATGCACACAAGCAAGTACATGACTGCAAATATTACAAGAGCAGTACATACTGTAATAATGAAAGCAAGATGAGGACGTGATTCCGTCTAAAAGCAGAACAAAAGTGTTACATTAGTACTGAACTTTCCTTTTAATAAGCGCAAAACCTAATGGTGTGTCTAATGTCACCCATGCAGCTATGATGTCACCATATTACATTAGAGATAAAAAGCTATTCCTACTGCAATGTCTATGCAGATGTACTTTCTGTCATGTTATATGTGGGACCATGCATGTTTTCAGAATCCCAGGTACAGGAAATTCCCTATTAAAACTAAAAGAAAAAACACCCCAACTTATTTCTGCAATTTCACCTACTAATATTGGGGAATGCCATCCATTACACTAACATTTTTTATTAATATCTAATACTTGCAGAGCATAGTTTTTCTATTAAATTATGTTAAAAGTAAAGAAAATAGTTAAGTCATTATTACTGTTCTTTGTAAGAACAACAAGGGCGGGAGAGCGTGATTAGCAAAATTCAGGATCAACTTCCTTCTAGAAGTACTACAAATCATGGGTACACGGTCTAGGTCCTCGGTTCTGAAAACCTGATTCAACCTGCACTTGAAGAGAGTAAAAAAGTGACAGGGAGGATTTACCAGCCCTTTCATCACCATCTTTACAACCAGCTCCTTTTCCCTTTTACCACCTGTGAATTTGACTCTTTGGTTCTATTTAAGAAAAGCAGACACTCCTTCCAAACCCTATGTCTATTTCCTTAATTAGCCAACAAATGATTCTGGTAGCCTGTTCACATATAGATTTTGGCACAATATATTTTTCTTAACCCCCACAAGCAGTAATTCCCTAAACCTGGATCTGTCACATAGCTAAGTGATCCCACTCCCAGCTAACTTAACAATTTTACTGTTTCCATCCCAAAGGAGTTTCCATAATAGTTTTTTCCAAACTATTAAACTCTAAAAACTGCCGCCTACAAAATCAATCACAAGAATTCATAACCAAGGAACCCATATGTTATTTCACCTTTTAGTTTGCTGTACTTTTAAAAACATTCATATTCTTGAATCTGATGTTAGAATTTACACACACACAAAATGCTGGTAACTCCCATGAACACAACTACCACTAACCTGAAGTAAGGGTTACACTATTCTAGCCCAATGAAACTTTTGCCCAGTGAGATTCGTGAGCTTTGATACAAGTTCTTTCTTTCCTCACACAATGTACAGTACAAACGGAGAACCCTGGTTATACTCACATGCATGACAAAGAATAGTATAATTAGCGTAATACAGAAAGTAATTGCAATGAAGAGCAGCAGGAGAAGAAGCGGGTGCTGCTGGCTCGTGTAGCGATACTTCTCATAAAGTGGATCTGTTATCTTGCAGTCTTCATTTTCATTAAAGAAGTATTTTCCCTTAGCTGGCATTTTATTCCAGTTTGGCTTTGACTTCTCTCTCAGTTCCCAGTGATGACAACAAAGCAAAGATAGATCTATCCTTCTTTGAAGAGCACTTCTGTCTTCTAAGGTAGCCCTTGGTTCTGACTTGCTTGACCACACTGAGTGACTCACATTCTGCACTTGCGCTTCTCCTCATGAGCATAAAGTTCAGATCTCAGTATAAATGAAAGGGAAGAGCCCTCCTCTGCAGAGCCACATCCTACTCTTCAACAGCTCCATGCAAGTTTTTTCTAGATTGATTGATACTTGTGCTGCTGCTGTCGAGGTTTTATTTTGCTACAATGACTTTAACTCCGTTCCACAAGCTGTCAGCAATTCCCTTCGAGTGCTGTTTCATGGGATAAACTCTGTGGAGAGAAAGCATGATTAAAAACAAGGCTTCAGTTAAGTGGATGCATTTTTGTCTGAGAAAAGTATATTCTTTAACCTCACTGTAAATAATCTTTAACAAGGGGACAAAGAAGTATTCCTTGGCCCTGAGAATTAGGCATAACAGTACTTTCTGTTTAACATAACATATAAACTCTAAAGCAGTGGTTCTCAAACGGTGATCCATGGAGCACTTGCTAAAGCTGGACATATTATGCTGGCTCACCTTTTTCTAGCCATTGAAACACTTAAAAGAGCTAAAAAATATATTAAATACTTTTCTAATGTTACATTCCCACATGAGCAATTGCTGCAGTTGCCACAGGCACATTATGCAGTTGCGAATGGTAGGGGGAGATGGTCCAAGCAATCAAAAATGGCAAGAGGGGTGACCAACGCTATGTAAAAGTTTGCTACCACCCTCCCCCACCTCTAATAAAAGCTTAATTCCAGCCTAATCTTGAAACTGACTGTACATATAGACATGCAGAATCCTTCTGAGATTGAAACAGGCAGAATAAATTGAGCAGTGCAGTGGAATACTACTCATGCATATTTAATATTTTGATAGGCTAACAGATTTGACTTTGATATTCAGTTACAGAAGGATTTTAACTATATAACAGAATCATGTATTGGTCATACTAAAAATGAGAAACATCATATATTCATGTTTAAAAACTGGCTGTTTAAAGCCAAAACAATGTCTGAATTCTCCTCTGTACCCCAAATTATTATTCCCCACCCAAAACTAACAAAACAGGTCCTTCCAAGGATCAGATTACTAATTTTCCAAAAACACTTTCATGATTTCTTTGCAGAGAGTTGCCCTATTTTACAAGTCTGCATAACATGTACTTAAAGATGTGGGCATAAATCACGGTACCATCACTTAAATAGCAGAAAGAGCACAAATAAGTAAAACACACAATCTCTTTGGGCTGGATTTTGCCACCCTTACAATAAGTGATATCTTACTCCTCTAGCAGTCCCAGTGAAATAGATTTAACAGCTCATGGAGGAAGCAACTACATATAACTGTGGTGGTTATTTGAAATCAGTACTTTAAAATATTCCTAATCAGTGCTAAGAACTGATTTCAGTTCTTGCTAATTAAAAGATCCAATCCTGCATTCCTACTCAGGCAAAATTCCCTGGAACCTTAAATATGTAATAGTTTGCTCAGACTGAAGAAGCTTTGTTTCTTCTTGTTAAAAGCAACAGACCATACTAGATTATCAGTTTTTAAGAAGAACTCCCCTGAATCAATTGAAATTGCTGCCTAAACTGACAGTACAATATGGCCCAACACATACAGACAATTTCATTTTTATTCACAATATCTTGTTGGCATTCCATTGATTTTGCAACATAATAAAAAAAACCCTAATTTAAATTTTCTTTAAATTAAATTTACCTCCTTAAAAATATGAAACAAAAAATAAAATAGGAAAATAAAGTACAGACTGTCAAAACCAAAACCTACTACATTAATATTTAAAGCACTGATTTGTTTAAAAACAGAAACCAAAAAACTATAGCTCCTAGTTCTTTCAAATCTAATTTATACTATTTCTATGGCAACAGCCATGTTAAGGTAACAATGAACATTAAGGGATAAGTTACACTGTTAACTAGTAATGACTGATGATTTTCAAATAGCAGCTTGAATATAGTTCATTCAATGACAGGGGAGACTTTTTTTTTTAAAAGAGCCAGTGAAGTGTGAAAAACAGGATTTCAAAAAATGTTTTATTAGGACTTGATAAAATAATTACAGCTTCCTTACTGTTAGATTACCATCACCATGGAGTTCTAATCTTGGCTTTTCTCCCAAAAGGTATAGCCTGATACAAGAAAACTTGCCGAAAAGCCAATTTAAATCAGTTACTCTCAAGTGACAAACTGTTTAACCACATGCAGACACAGTGGACACATGGCAACCGGAGATGGTGCTGGGGCTTTTTTTTTTTTTAAAACCATACCAAATGATTTAGACGACACCAATATAAGCAAATTCTAGAACATTACCCATTGGAAAATTAACAAGTGAATTTTCCAGACATTAGCCTCGGGTGAAAGCAGAAGGCCCAATCCTGCAATTGTAGCAAGTATGAAACTTCCATTGACAAACACGTTGAGCGCTTGCCCACAAAGTTCTGTAAAACTGCATTACTTACAAAACAAGAGGACAAGGTAGAAGAACAGAATATATTGGATTGTGAATTGTTGCTGAATAATAAAATAAATGATTCCTATCAAACATCATAAAACAACAACAACGTTTATACACACACTTTGCAAACGAAAGGAAGTCATTTTTAGGAAAAAAAAATTACATTTATTAACTGTAATTGTCAAAACCTGGTTTACCATAAGGGACAAGTTTTTAAAAGCCTCCTACACTTTACCTGTGAAATTAGTAACCTCACAGATATCCATTTGCATATACACGTTGGTCCTTTGCAAGTTCTGTGGATGTAGTTTAGAAGGCATCTTTCAAAATCAAACTGAAGGGGGGCAGGGAAGAGATATTTTATATATGCCCATGATGCCACATTTCACTTTCTCATAGTAGTAATATAAATCTGTAAATGCAGGTCTACTTTTTGTTGAGCTACCAAATAAATGATAGCACAACTACTTTTGAGACTAAAACGATATGGGTAATTCAGCACTGAGTCTTGTGCCTTGCCCCTTCCCTCCTTTGGTATTGTCAAAGAATGACAATTTATCAGGCCAAATATTTTGAAATATGGTAACAGATTTTTCTCAACACAAGAGAGTAGATACAAGTACATTTGTGATTCACACAATTGTTAGAAGAGATGCAATATACATTTACTCCAATATGCCTTCTTCAACAATAGCTTATACCAGGGGTCGGCAACATTCGGCACGCAGCTCGCCAGGGTAAGCACCCTAGCGGGCCGGGCCAGTTTATTTACCTGCTGACGTGGCAGGTTTGGCCGATCGCAGCCCCCACTCACCACGGTTCGCCTCCCGGGCCAATGGGGGCAACGGGAAGCGGCGTGGGCCGAGAGATGTGCTGGCCGCGGCTTCCCGCCGCCCCCATTGACCCGGGACGGCGAACCGCGGCAAGTGGGGGCCGCGATCAGCCGAACCTGCCACGTCAGCAGGTAAATAAACTGGCCCTACCCGCTAGGGTGCTTACCCTGCCAAGCCGCGTGCCAAACGTTGCCGACCCCTGGTTATACTGTATTTCTCAGTGGAAAGTGACAATTCCTATAATGGAGCTGACAGAAATTTCCCACACAATGTGTTCTGAACTGCTAGTGATCAGTTTATGATCTGAAGCTTGAGTACAGATAGCCCTGGTTGTTTTTAATGCCTGCTAGCATACTGCAGATACTATTTACATTCATGTGCATCTAAACCCCACCCCACCCCCCTTTTTAAAAAAAAAATCTGCTAGGTTACATGCTTTGATAAAATGCGCTCTGAACAGTGAATGTGACAGAGATTGTACACACTGTGAAAAAGTTCTATCACTTTTACATTTTTTTCTCTCTTCTAATGTTAAGCAGCTAATGTCAACTTTTCTACAAACAGAGATCTGTTAAAATTTCCAGTATAAGTCTGATAATTCAGGACACTACAGTTGGCGTGGAATGAACAATATTATTAATACACACTCACTACAAGTACATGCGATAAATGAGTTTTACTGAACAGCCAGATTGTGGAATTGGGGCTGTAAAGTACTATCAAAATAAGCAGTTTTACCGTACAATAATTACAGTAATTACTGCAGTGTCTGAGGAAATACAACACAAACACTGCTGTAATGACCCATACATAATCCTTTATAGGTACCACTCTAGTCAGAGTAGTTTGTATTTCACACTAAATTATGAGGGAGGTTTCTCCCATTCACAGATGTGGAATTTGTGCAGATAATTACAGTGAACACTAAGATTCTATTCAACAAAAATAAAAGTCATGAGTTGTTGATCTAGCATTATTCATCCCAATTTCAGCCCTGACACTAGGAAATTACCTACATATCATGTCATGGCTACTTACAATAATCCCTCTTAAAGCCCATAAAAAAATCCACCTGGATGCTCTACATTTTCAAAGTTCTGGTTATGTTTCTTTGCTGTGCAATTCATCAGTCTTCCTATATTTTCAGTTTATGATTCTTTTCTCGAACTTACTGAGCCAGGAAATAACATGGACAACAGCTTTTCCCACTCAATGGGACTTCAGCATAAGCTTGAAGTTAAGCACATGCTTAAGTGCTTTGCTGATCAAAGGCCTAATTGCCACCTTTGCGCATCCTCCTGTCACATACGCGCGCGCGCACACACACACACACACACACACACACACAATTATCTAGTAAATTATACTTATAGATTCATAGACTTTAAAGGCCAGAAGGGACCATCAGATCATCTAGTCTGACCTCCTGTATATCACAGGGCTTTAAATCTCACCCCGTTACCACTCTATTGAGCCCAATAACTAGTGTTTGGCTAAAGTATAACTTCTAGAAAGGCATCCAGTCTTTATTTGAAGGCACCCAGGTCAACTATCCAACACTTCCCTGAGTAGTTTGTTCCAATGGTTCATCACCCTTCACTGGTAAAAATCTGCCTTATGAATTTCCCTGGCTTCAGCTTCCAGCTAGTCATTCTTGTTCTGTCTTTCTCCACTAGATTAAAGAGCCATTTAGTACCGGGAATTTTCTCCCTGTGAAAGTACTTATACACACTGTTATCGAGTCAACTAAACTGCTTGAACTCTTTAAACCCCTCACTGTAAGGCATTTTCTCCAGTTCTTGAATCATTTTGTGGCTCTTTTCTTTATCCTCTCCAATTTTTCAATCCCCTTTTTAAGAACACGCAGTATTCCTTTATTGGTCTCACCAATGGCACTACACCCTGGTTTATACATCCAAAGATGTTTGTGTATTAGCCCTTTTGCCACAGCATCAATTTGAAAGCTCGT